TTTTTTTGAGATGGAGTCTTTGCTTCTTGCACCCAGGCTTTTAGAGTGGGCAGTGGCGCAATGCGTCAGCTCCACATGCAACTTCTGTCTCCTGGTTCAACGCGCGATTCTCCCTGCCTCAGCTTCCTTGAGGTAGCTGGATTACAGGCGCCCAACTACCACACTAAGGTAATTTTTTGTATTTTTAGAAAGAGACGGGTTCGCGCATGTGGCCGGTTTGCTTCGAATCCTTGAACTCAGGCTGATCCACCCCGCCTTGTCCAACAAAGTGGCTGGGATTCTTCAAGGGCCATGACCCACGCGCACCCAGCCAGGGTTTTTACTTTCTTCCTCTTTTTCCTCCATTGCTATTTCCTAATATCCTGAGGTGGCATTTAGTCCAAAAAAGATGAATTAGGCCTTACTCAGGTAAGATGCAGCACAAAAACGTGTTTCCTTGTTCAACGAACCAGTGCCGCTGGGTTATTTTCTAAAGGCTACAGGTGTCTGACGGCCACTTGAGGAAAGGTGGGTCTCAGCTGGGTCTTATCTTAAAACAGTAAAAGTTAACTTTCAATGGCAAAAACCGCAATTACTTTTGCATCAACCTGTTACCTGATTTTACAGATGAGGAAGCTTATGTTACCCAGGTTACACGGGAGCTGGAAAGAGGTAGGAATGGAGATTCCAATCTGGGTCTCTCTGAATCCAGAGCCCATAGGCCCTTCCTGTCTTTGCTACTCATAGTGTAGTCACTGAACTAGCCTAATGGATATCACCTGCATGCTTGTTAGAGGTGCACGAATTCACACCCTACCCCCAGGTCTGCCTTTTAACAAGACTTACGCGTGCAGTGAGCTATGACTGCGCCACCGCACTTCACCCTGGGCGACAGAGTAAGATCCAGTCTCAAACAAAAACAAAAACAAAAACAAACAAACAAACAAACAAAAACCCAGTGATTCTGCACATTATGGCACGAGAAACGAGGCTATAGAGCATCCTGCTGCCCTCCTCACCCACTGTGGCCTCTTGGGCACACCTGTAATCACACCTGGCCATATGGAGGTATGACATATGTCAGCCAGTCTCTTTTAAAAAATTTAAAATTTTTATTTTTTTTGGGAGGGTGGGGGGATGGAGTCTTGCTCTGTTGCCCGGGCTGCAGTGCAGTAGTACTATCTCTGCTCACTACAACTTCTGCCTCCCGGGTTCAAGTGATTTTCCTGCCTCAGTCACCTGAGTAGCTGGGATTACAGGCTTGTGTTACCACACCTGGCTAAGTTTTGTATTTTTAGTAGAGATGGGATTTCACCATGTTGGCCAAACTGGTCTTGAACTCCTGACCTCAAGTGATCTGCCTACCTTGGCTTCCCAAAATGCTGGGATTACAGGCATGAGCTACTGTCCCTGGCCTTTTTCTTCTTCTTCTTTTTTTTAAAATTTCAATCCTGCTCCTGTTTTAGTTTTTTAAATTTTTAAAAAAAATTTTTAATCTATGTTAAAAATCTCTTTTTAATCTATGTTAAAAATCCAATAGAGCGCCAGGTGCAGTGGGTCACTCCTGTAATCCCAGCACTTTGGGAGGCTGAGGTGGGCAGACCTTGTGAGCCCAGGAGTTTGAGATCAGCTTGGTCAACACAGCAAAACCCCGTATCTACAAAAAATACAAAAATTAGCTGGGTGTGGTGGCCCATGCCTGTAGTCCCAGCTGCACATGAGGCTGAGGTGGGAGGATGGCTTGAGGAGGAGGTTGCAGTGAGCTGAGATCATGCCACTGTACTCCAGCCTGGGTGACAGAGCCAGATCCTGCCTAAAAAAAAAAAAAAATCAAACAGAAAAAAATGGTGGCTTAGGAGAGAGAGAGGAAAAAAAGGAAAGAATGTAAATGACTTACGAAGTTGCAATGATATAATAAAAAGCTGAAAAATTCGGCATAAATATGCGATTAGTGTTATAATGCCCAGCATGGTGATAATTCTTTTTCTCTTTTAAAAAATTTGGGATGCCTATAATCCCTGCACATGAGGCTGAGGTGGGTGGATTGCTTGAGCTCAGGAGTTCGAGACCAGCCTGGGCAAAGTGGCAAAACCCCGTCTCTACAAAAAATACAAAAATTAGCAGGGCGTGGCAGCACACTCCTATAGTCCCAGCTACTCAGGAGGCTAAGATGGGAATTTGAGACTGTAGTGAGCTGAGATTGTGCCACTGCACTTCAGCCTGCGCGACAGAGTGAGACCCTGTGTCAAAAAAATAAAACAAAACAAAAATTGTGGTTTTTAACAATTATCTACCCAGTCTGACCATATCTCCTATATTTCTATAATGGGGTGTGTGTGCATGTAGAGTGATGGGGAGTTTTGATTTCTTCACAAATCCGTCCCAGCACTATTAGGACGATGTATTTGCCTGAGAGGACTCCATTCATTACCACCTCTGTCTCCATTACTCTCAGCTTCTCTCTTGGTTCTCTTTGGTGACCAGGACTGAGAGCTTGAGTTTTTTCGGAATTCCTAATACACTGAAGCTGTGTGCAATGCACTAACCATTTGTTATCTCCTTTAGACCACCAGCACCCCTATAAGGATGGCACAGGCCATCCAGTGCTACAGATAAGGAGATAACTCTGGGAGCTTAAGTAACTTGCCAGAGATCATGACTGGAGTCAGACCATGACTTGGCCACATTGATGGGCAGCCATGGGTCAGATTCATTTCCATCTGTAAGATCAAAGCTTGAGCTTGTGTTGCTTTGTTTGGAGACAGAGTTTTGCTCTTGATGCCCAGGCTGGAGTGGAATGGCGCAATCTCAGCTCACTGCAACTTCCGCCTCCTGGGTGCAATTCTCCTGCCTCAGCCTCCCTAGTAGCTGGGATTACAGGCACCCGCCACCATACCCAGCCACTTTTTGTATTTTTAGTAGAGACAGGGCTTCAGCATGTTGGCCAGGCTGGTCTCGAACTCCTGACCTCAAATGATCTGCTGGCCTCGGTCCCCCAAAGTGCTGGGATCACAGGCATGAGCCACCATACCTGGCCCATCTTATATATTCTGTCCTATTGACAGATCTGGTATTACATGAAGTCCCGAGTGTTGACTTCAGAAAACGCCAAGTTACACGCCATACACAGAGGCTGGGATTGAAGTGAGACCGCAGAGAAAGCCAGCAATGGGGCTACTGACTGGCGGGGGGGCTCTGCTTGACATCATTTAGCCTCTTTAGACCTCAGTTTCTCTCCCTGCAAAATGGAAGTAATAAAAAATAACGTCCCTAGCTCACGAGAGTCTTTGTAAGCTTTACAGAGTGGTCAGCTTGTCCGAGGAGCCTAAATATCTATTCAGAGGGAATGGAAGAAAGCATTATGCATAGACTTTTACACTTGGAGGAAATGGCCAACCGGAAAAATCATCTGGGGCCAGAGTTGTATTTATGTGCATATGCATTGTTGCATTAAAGCATTTAGTTCTGCTCCGTGAGTACGTAGGAAATGAATACTCTACGGTCTGTGACCGAGTCTCACTCTGTCACCCAGGGTAGAGTACAGTGGGATGATCTCAGTTCACTGCAACCTCCGCCTCCCGGGTTCAAATGATTCTCCTGCCTCAGCTTCCTGAGTAGCTGGGATTACAGGTGTGCACTGCCATGCCCAGCTACTTTTTGTATTTTTAGTAGAGACAGGGCTTCAGCATGTTGGCCAGGCTGGTCTCGAACTCCTGACCTCAAGTGATCTGCTGGCCTCGGTCCCCCAAAGTGCTGGGATCACAGGCATGAGCCACCATACCTGGCCCATCTTGTATATTCTGTCCTATTGACAGATCTGGTATTACATGAAGTCCCGAGTGTTGACTTCAGAAAACGCCAAGTTACATGCCATACACAGAGGCTGGGATTGAAGTGAGACCGCAGAGAAAGCCAGCAATGGGGCTACTGACTGGCGGGGGGACTCTGCTTGACATCATTTAGCCTCTTTAGACCTCAGTTTCTCTCCCTGCAAAATGGAAGTAATAAAAAATAACGTCCCTAGCTCACGAGAGTCTTTGTAAGCTTTACAGAGTGGTCAGCTTGTCCGAGGAGCCTAAATATCTATGCAGAGGGAATGGAAGAAAGCATTATGCATAGACTTTTACACTTGGAGGAAATGGCCAACCGGAAAAATCATCTGGGGCCAGAGTTGTATTTATGTGCATATGCATTGTTGCATTAAAGCATTTAGTTCTGCTCCGTGAGTACGTAGGAAATGAATACTCTACGGTCTGTGGTTTCCACACAGCAACCTTCAAAGAGACTGTTACACTGACGTGGCCCTCCCTCTCTATGAAAACCTCAACATCGTGGAGCAGCCGGTGAACTTGAGCAGCCTTGCCCAGAAGTATGCGGAGAAAGCAACCCAGTTCATCCAGCAGGCAAGGTGAGGAGCCTCCCTCCCTCCCCAGGGCCTCCCGCTGCTTCCACCTACCCGTGCACACACACCATGTCCCTCGGCCTCGGCACGCTTGAGGCCTTGACAGAGTTTTGCTGCCCAGCAGAGATGGATGCATACATGTCTCCTATAAATAAAGCTGGAAAACAGCGCCTTCTGGAAATCCGCAGTCCTGGATTAGAGATTCCTCAGGTATGTGCCTAGAGTCCCTAGGGCTTATCCCTCTGTTGCTTTGATCATGTTCCACTGCCATGATCATTTTGTCCTCTCCTTCTAGGTTATAAGCTCCTCGAGGGTAGGGCCTGCCCACTGCACTCTGTGCACTCAAGACATTTGTTGAGTTCACTAGCTGGCAGGATATATTACTTTTCTATTGCTGCGGTAACAACCAATCACTAATTTAGTGGCTAAAACAATAGTAACTTACCCTGCTACAGATCTGGAGGCCAGATGTCTGACATGAGTCCTAGGGGGCTAAAATCAAGGCATCCGCAGGACTGTTTTCTTGGGGAGTCTCTAGGGGAGAATTCCTTCCTTGCCTTTTCCAGCTTCTGGCATTTCTAAGCTAGGGCCATATCATTCTCAACTCTAATTCTGTTGTTCACATGCCTCTTAGTCAAATCTCCCCTCTGGCTCCCACTTAGAATAACACCTGTGATGGCATTTAGGGTCCACCAGGAGAATGCAAGGTGATCCCCCTACCTCAAGACCCTTAACATAATTCCACCTGAAAAGTCTCTTTTGCCATACGTTCATAGATTCCAGGAATTAGACCCTGTTTATCTTTGGGAGCTATCCTTCATTCTACCAGACAGATGTTACAAATTCCCGCATCTAGAAGGCACAGATAGGTAACCTTAAAGAGGGAAGCAGGATGAACGTAAGGCATTAGGGAGTGGTGGGGTCTACAGCAAACCCAGAAGCACATGCCCCATCTGCAGGGGGCAGCTACTACCTAGCTCCAGCTGCTTGGTGCTTCTTTGTGAAAATGTGAACCTGGAATATCAGATCTTTTCATTTTACAAGAGACATAGGATACCTGGCTTTTATGTGAAATCTCCTGATCTTGAAATATTAGAAACTACTAATTAACAAAAGGCTGGGCGTGATAGCTCATGCCTATAATCCCAACACTTTGGGAGGCTGAAGTGGGCAGATTGCTTGAGTCTAGGAGTTCAAGACTAGCCTGGGTAACATGATGAAACCCTGTCGCTACAAGCAATACAAAAATTAGCCGGGCGTGGTGATGTGTACATGTTGTTCCAGCTACTCGGTAGGCTGAGGACGGAGGATCACTTGAGCCTGGGAGGCATAGGCTGCAGTGAGCCAAGACTGTGTCACTGCATTCCAGCCTGGGTGACAGAGCAAGACCCTATCTCAAAAAAAAAAAAAAAAAAAAAAGAATGAAAAGTAAAATAAAATAAAATAAAATAAAAGTAAATAAGAATAACGAAGAAGTGGGCTGTGTGCGGTGGCTCATACCTGTAATCCCAGTGCTTTGGGATTACACTGGGTAATCCTCCCAGGTGGGAGGATTACTCGAGGCCAGGAATTCCGGACCAGCCTGGACAACCTGGTGAGACCTTGTCTTTACAAAAAATTATAAAAAGGGGCTGGGCGTGGTGGCTCATGTCTGTAATCCCAGCACTTTGGGAGGCCGAGGCGGGCGGATCACCTGAGTTCAGGAGGTCGAGACCAGCTTGACCAACATGGTGAAACCCCGTGTCTACTAAAAATACAAAAATTAGCTGGGAGTGGTGGCGCGCATCTGTAGTCCCAACTACTCAGGAGGCTGAGGCAGGAGAATCACTTGAACTCAGGAGGCAGAGGTTGCAGTGAGCCCAGAATGTGCCATTGCACTCCAGCCTGGGTGACAGAACAAGACTCTGTCTCAAAAAAAAATTAATAAAAATTATTAAATAGCTGAGCGTAGTGGTGTGAATCTGTAGTGCCAGCTAACTTGGGAGGCTGAACTGGGAGAATTACTGGAGTCCAGGAGTTCAAGGCTGCAGTGAGCCATAATCGCGCCACTGCACTCCAGCCTGACACATTGAGATCCTGTCTCTTAAAAAACCCCCAAAACCCAAAAAACAAGAAAGCAAAAACAAAACCATACCACAGTGTATCTCTAACAAATCATATATGCGTGAGGGTTGCTGGCTTACAACCTCTGTCAGATGTCAGGGCAAAGAATGGACATTGTGAAATAATGGACAACTCCAAAATTGTGCACAGTTATTTGGAGGGCACACCCACAGACTGTGGGGTGGAAGTGCACACACACGTGTACCTGCACACATGTGCACACAGTCACCCTCCCCGCCCCTTCATAACTGCCTTCTGCTGCCTTCTAATGACCCCATATATGTTCATCTTATCTTCCCCTCAGGATTCCACTCCTCAAGGGCAATGGGCTCCAAGAAACTTGGTGTTTTCTATAGCCTTAGCCTAAGTGAGCAAGAAAACACGTGCTGCATGGCTGTCCACTTGGGCAGAATTAAAAAGGGACTCTACCTGTAGTGATCACAGCAGCCCCTTGAATATGCAGGAATCCCCCACCCCTCGTTCAGCCACATGGGACGTTTTTTAGAAGCTCAGCAGGGAGGGTAGAGGCAGCCATGCAGGAGGTCCAGGCATCCTGTTTTCTTGGTAATAAAACCTATTTAAGGATTGAATCTCAAAGGTAGCTTCAGACATTGCATCTTAAGGGTTTATCAGGACTTTCTGAGAACCCTGTTGTTTTATTTCAGATTGTCAAGAGTAGAAAGGGCAGAGCCTCTTCTCCCATCTGGAGGGTTGAGCGTCTCCCAGCTCACTGGATCTTTGGGATGGTTTCAGGCCCCTGTGCCCCATGGCACATGGATGCTTCAAGGCTAGTGGGGACAGTCTCTTCTGCTTTTGTAGTGAACCAAACAACACTGTGTTCTTAGGGGAAGGAATGGGGACTTGGGACTGTTTAATGCCCCCTCTGAAGTGGGCATAGGGCCTGGACATCCACCCGTTAATTAATCAGTTAAAAGGCAAATCAACCCACAGCCTCTTTATTATACAAAAGAGGGGAACAGTTTTGTTACTTCATTAACTGGTTATTAAGTGAAAAGTCCCGAGTCCTGTTGGCATTTAACGTTACAGAAGGAAATCCCCAGAAATGCTGATTTCTTTGGGATTTCCACATGCCAAATGGTTTTCTGAGCATCAGCAGAAAAGGCCCCCAGGTCCTTGCCCTTCCTCCTCCATGACTCTGGCCCCTGCCTCAAGCCCCTCCCCCAACTTGGGCCTGTTTGTCAAAACCACCAGGTATCCCTAGAGTGCAGCTTCCCACTCTTCTCTGACAAGGGGGCCCAGGACTTAGGGAGTTTTTACTTGGGTCCTTAGTTGGCTTTAGTGTCTCACCCAAGACCGTCGACGTAGTACTTGGGTATCACTGCTGGTCATTCAGTTTACTTGACTTTAGACCCTTCATCTGGTAGCAATGCTGATTGCTAATGCTTGATCTGAATGTTTTAAGCAGCAGGCAAAGCTCTGAATAGGACAAAGGAGCAGGTAGAAGGCATGGGCTCCTAGGTCCCAGAGCTAGCTGGGCCTCTGTTCCTTATGAGGTCTGGGACCGTGCATTGTGCCTAAGTGGGGAATACAGGGCTTAATAAGCCGGAGTGTATCGGGCATCAGAATGAGCAGTGGCCCAGGATGTTTCAAATCAGATATTTCTTTGTTTTTTTTTTGAGACTGAGTCTCTCGCTCTTGTCACCCAGACTGGAGTGCAGTGGTGCAATCTTTGCTCACTGCCACCTCTGCCGCCTGGGTTCAAGCAATTCTCCTGCCTCAGCCTCCCAAGTAGCTGGGATTACAGGCGCATGCCACCACACCCAGCTAATTTTTGTATTTTTAGTAGAGATGGGGTTTCAACATGTTGGCCAAGCTTGTCTTGAACTCCTGACCTCAGGTGATCTACCTGCCTCGGCCTCCCAAAGTGCTGGGATTACGGGCATGAGCTACCGTGCCTGGCCTGAAATCAGACCTTTCAAACAAACCAATATTCCATGGTGTCATGTACTACACGTTGAAATCCTAACTCTTAGTGGGGTGGTATTAGGAGGTGGGGCCATTAGGAGGAAATAAGGTTTAGATAAGGTCATGAAAGTGAAGCCCCCATGTTGGGATTAGTGTTTGTATTAAAAGAAGAGAAAGAGACTACGGTGTGCTCTCTCTGGGCCATGTGAGGATACAGTGGGAAGGCAGCTGTCTGCTAATAAGCCAATAACCAGCCCCTTGCCAATGGACTTCCCAGCCTCTAGAACTGGGAGACCTAAAGTCGGGCATGGTGGCTCATGTCTGTAAGCCCAACACTTTGGGAGGTCAAGGGTAGGAGATTGCCTGAGCTCAGGAGTTCAAGACCAGCCTGCACAACATAGTGAGACCGCCATCTCTACAAAAACGAAACAAAACAAAACAAACAAACGAACAGAAAAGTCTTTCTGCATTCTAGAACCTGGAAAAAGAAAAAAAGAGGCCAGGAACAATGGCTCACGCCTGTAATCCCAGCACTTTGGGAGGCCGAGGCGGGTAGATCACATGAGGTCAGAAGAAGTTCGAGATCAGCCTGGCCAACATGGTGAAACCCCATCTCTATTAAAAATACAAAAATTAGCTGGGCGTGGTGGCACATGCCTGTAATCCCAGCTGCTTGAGAGGCTGGGGTAGGAGAATGCTTGAACCCAGGAGACGGAGGTTGCAGTGAGCCGAGATCTTGCCATTACACTCCAGCCTGGGCAACAAGAGCAAAACAACAACAAAAACAAACAAAAACAAAACAAAACAAAAACCCAAAAAACAGAATTGGGAGAAGTCGATGGTTGTATACTAAGCCACCCCAGGGAGTGGCATTTTGTTATAGCAGCCCAAGCAGGCTAAGACACAGGACACGCATGTTTTGGAACTAGGTCCTCGGGATGCAGAGATGAAAGACGTGTTCAGTCTTCATGAGCTCA